ATTTGCATTTTGAGACCCTTCATTCTGGGGACTTTCATTGTTTGTATTCCAAAGTCAATTTTCTCAGTGTCTGCTCTCCAGGCGTCTGGGAGAGACCCATACTCTTCTTTTGGTTTTTCTTCATTTCTGTAGATTTTTCTCCCTTTACCCCTTTCCCTCCCCCTCTTCAATTCTGTTTTTGAGGGAAGGTGGGGTTGCTTTTATTTCTCTTCTGCAATGACCTGTTCTTCCTTATGAGGGTCTTCTGGTTTTGTTCACTTTTCCCTCTGCTTTACAGTCTGTCTATTCAGCAGTTTGCAGTCTTGGTCCGTTCAGAGAATCTCACCAGTTCACCTATGCCGTCGCCATCTTGCCCCGTCTCCGCTCTTCTGGATCTTCTCTTCTTTTCTTCCCCTTTTTTCTTTAAAATACTTCTTCTCACTTTTGCCCATGCTGGAGTGCAGCTCTGAAAAAGTTTTTAAGATCCTTATGTCCTTCTGACTTTTTTTTTCTTAACACCTTAATTTTCTTTCATTTAACTTCCCTTCGATTTTCAGCTTTTCAGAATGGTCATGGAATTGTTAAATAGAATGGGAATACATTTGTGAAAAGTAAGGCCATTCCGATGGATGTTTCTATACTTGAAGAATGACTGCTTGCCAGAAATACAGATTCCCAGTCCCCCCGGTGCAGGAGGGTCTGATTTTTTAGATCCCGAATGAACTTTGAAATTGGTTTAACAAGTTTCCAACCAATTCTGAAACAAATAATCCACATTGAGAGAAATACTGATTTAGATCCAACATTTTCCATGAGCAGGGACCACATCCATATTCTTCACAGCTGTGCCCCTTCCCCAGCCCCATGCAAAGCTCCTGACACATCACAGGTGTGCAACAAAGTTGTATGAACACACATTCAATAGGAGCTATGACCAGATAGTCCTGAATCCTCTAGAACAAAGGAATCCCCCATGGGGGAGAATGAGCAATGGGTATGCAGGATCTAGTTTTTTTTTTTTTTTTTTTTGCAATTTTCTGTAAACATATAATTATTTCAACAAGAACTTTAAAAAATTGTATTCTGTGTACCAGCAACAAAGAAACAGAATAAAAATTTTAAAAGAAATCATTTGTGCTAAAAATTTTAAAAACTTCAAATACCCAGAAAGATATGAATGAACCATATGCTGAAAACTACTGAACAGTATTGAGAAATTGAAGACGATATAAATGAAAAGAGAGATATGCCTTGTTCTTAGATTAAAAGTCTCAAAACAGAAAAATGATGTTTATCTCCAAACTGATCTGTAGATTTAAAGTAATATCAATAAAATTCACAAGTTTTTCTTTTTTTCTTGTTATAATTGACAAGCTGATTCTAAATTGTATATCCTTCCATTTGGGAAGGGCTAAGAATAACCTAGGCAATCTTGAGGAAAGAATAAGGATGGAGGACATGCTATAAGATAGCAAGGTATGCCGGGCTCGGTGGCTCATCCTGTAATCCTGCGCTTTAGGAGGCTGAGGTGAGTGGACTGCCTGAGCCCGCAGGTCGAGACCCGCCTGGGCAACTTAGCGAGACCTCATCTCTACAATAAATAAATAAAAAAAAATCAGCCAGGCGTGGTAGCACACACCTGAAGTTCCAGCTACTTGGAAGGCTGAGGCGGAAGGATCGCCGGAGCCCAGCAGGTCAAGGCTGCAGTGGCAGGCGTGGCCACTGCACTCCAGTCTGGGTGGCAGAGTGAGACTCCAACTCAAAAAAAAAAAAAAAAGAAAGAAAGAAAGATATCAAGGTATATGAAAAAAGCTATAGTAATTGCAGCAGTATGGTATTGGTGCAGGAATACACAAACAGACAAATTGAACTGGATACAGTCTAAACCACAGGGTATCTATATGTACAGGTATACCTTGTAAAGTGCTTTTCTTGCTTGCACTTTGCTGATTATGTGTTTTTTACTAATTGAAAGTTGTGGCAACCCTGCATCAAGGAAGTCTATGGCCCCATTTTCCCAACAGCACATTTGAACACATGTGCTCATTTTGTGTCTGAGTCAGAACTTTTTAGCAATAAAGTATTTTAAAATTAAGGTATGTGCATTGTTTTTTTACACATAACGCTGTTGCACATTTATTATTGACACAGTATAGTGTAAACTTAACTTTTATATGCATCAGGAAGCCACACATTTGACTCACTCTATTGCAAGAGTTACTCTATTGCAGTGGTCTGGAGCTGAACCGCAGTATCTCTGAGGTATGCCTGTATATTCATGTTGTTGATGGAAAAGGTGCCACTGCAGAAGGCAAAGTGTGATCATTTCAATAAATGGTGGGTGGGGTGCTGAGTCAATTTTATGTCCATATAGAAATGAATGAATTTTGACCAGTATACCATAAGTAAAAATTTCAAATGGATTGCAAATCTAAACATGAAAGATAAAGCAATGAAGCTTCTAGAATGAAACAGGTGAATATCTTCATGACCTTGGGAGAGGCAAACATTTTTTAGATGGAAAATAAAAGCTCTGAAAAGGGAATTGGGTATCAAAATACATGAACTTCTCTTCATTAAAAGACACTATTAAGAAAATGACATGGTGAGCTCCCAAACTGGGAAAAGATAATATAATCAACAGAGTTCTTCGATCCAGAATATATAAGAACATCTATGTGTTAAAAGAACTATGTTTAAAAGGAGATTCCGTGTAAAAACTTAACAGAAGACTTGAATAGGCACTTCAGAAAGGGCATAACCAACGAGACAATAAGCCACTAAATGTTACAAAGCTGCTCAACATCATTTGTCATTGGGAGAATGCCTACTAAAGTCACAATGAGGTGCTGTTACAACCTGAGAAGAATGGTTAAATTGAAAAATACTTATAATACTAAGTGTTGGCAAGGATATAGAGCCACTAGAATCTCCATGTAATGCTAGTAGGAGTAAAAATTGACACACTTTGGAAAACAGTTTAATGGTTTCTACTAAACCTCAACATAGACACATTCCTTATGTTGCAGCAATCATAATCTATATGTACTTAGGTCTATCCCACAAGTCTGCATGTGTATTAATCAAAAGATGTGATCCAGAACGCTTACAGCATCATAACCCATAATTAGTATCCATAATACCATTCATCAACAATAAAATGTGTAAATGTACTATGGCATATATACATATATTATTATACAGAGAATCCATGAGTTACTTCTACATGCAAAAACATCAAAGATTCACCCAAGCATCATGGTGAATGGAAGAAGCTGACTATAACAGGGTAAATACTTTACAATCACATTCATAAAACCCTCAAAAACTCTCAAACTAGTATCTGGCGCTAGAAGTCAGAATAGTGGCAGGGATAATAACTAGGAGGGAGCATATGGATAGCTTCTAGTTCTTTATCTGGGAGCTAGTTACATGAGTATGTTCCTTTTATGAAAACACATACAGATGAAGGCTTATTACTATTGCATAGTTCTGTAGATATGTTTAATTTCATTTAAAAATTAAAAAGCACAAAATGCCATATACAATGTTGTTTTATCAACACAAATTATATTCTAGGACTCTTCATTATTCTACTGTGAAGCTTGACCCAAGCCCAAGGCCCTTTTTACGGCATCGTTAAATTCTTTGTTCCTCAGGCAATAAATCAAAGGGTTCATCATTGGCGTGAGGACAGTGTACACAGCAGAGATGAGCTTATTGGAGCTCCAGGAATCAATGGCCTGGGGTCGGACATACATGAAGATCATGGCCATGTAGAAGATGGTGACCACAGTGAGGTGGGAGGTGCAGGTGGAGAAGGCTCTCCAGCGACCAGTGGCTGAGGGGATGCTCAGGACAGCCAGGGTGATGTGTCCATAGGACAGCACAGTGGCCAGCAGCGGGAACACTAGGATAATGAAGGCCAGGATGAAATCCACCAGCTCTGCAGTGGAGAAGTCTGTGCAGGCCAGCTTGAGGATGGGGGAAATGTCACAGAAGAAGTGGTTCAAGATGTTGGAGCCACAGAATGTGGCACTGGAGATAAAATAGACTTTGATCATGGAGATGGTGAAGCCACTCACAAAGGAGAATCCCACCAGCTGGACACATAGTCCTGTGGTCATGATGACATGGTAGCGCAGTGGGTGGCAGATGGCCACATAGCGGTCATAGGCCATGGAGGCCAGGAGCACACACTCAGTGCATACCAGGGAACTGAAGAAGTAGAGCTGAGTCATGCACCCAACAAAAGAGATGCGTTTCCGCTGGAGGAGGAAGCTGTCCAGCATCTTGGGGATGATGTCAGACACATACCAGATCTCCAAGAAAGACATGGAGCTCAGGAAGTAATACATGGGCCTGTGGAGAGAGGTGCTGCTCCAGACGGTGAGGATGATGGTCAGGTTCTCCACCAGCACAAAGAGGTAGGTGAGCAGAAAGAGGAGGAAGAGCACATACTGCAGCCCAGGGGCCGTGGGGAAGCCCACCAGGAGGAACATGCTGACCTTGGTGGCATTCTCCCCCCTCATCCCGTGCTTGGGAGTTGCGGGCCTGCAGAACATCAAAAAGCAAGAGCAAAGGGCTACAGGGCAGCTGGGGAGGAACAAGAAAGAAGGAACAAGAAAGGGCATAATAAGAAAGGCAGTTTGCACAGCCCATCAGAAGGAGTAGCTAGGAACCAGAATCAGTTTTTCTGTTCTGTTGTTGGGGTTTGGGACCTTATTTTACACAAGCACAAGCCTAGTGTTCCCCACCCACTTCTAGCATCCACTTCCAGCACCACCTCGATCATTGTGAATCATCATGGTGCTTATTTTATTTTTTCCCTTGGATTTTAGAGATGGTTAGGCTGCTATTTGATCTCTGCTGTGGTGTGTCATGTTCTGGGCAGTTCTCCATGGAGAAGGCACACTGGGTATAAATCAGGCTATGCACACATTCACACCTCCAGGAGAAGTGAGTGCAGGACCTGGAGATGCCATTGCAAATGAATAAGAGTCTCCTGTCTCTAGTCTGTGTGGTCCACTGCCCCCATTACCCCATGCCATGCATGCACACACACACATGCACACTCACACACATATGCTTACACATCCTTACATACATGTACAGATTCACACACATAGATTCACACACCCTTACACACATGTACACACATAAACATACATATACTACACACACTCTTACAATGCTAACACACCCTTTCATGTACAGACACACACACTCACATGGAGACATCACTGTATTTCTGGCTAGAGAAGACCACACAATGGTGGCTTGGGAGTCAGCTTGAGCATGGGGAAACTGAGGCTGCTAAAGTTCCAGGGAAACTACTGGAGAAGAGCCGTGGGGAGGGTTGGTCTTCTCACAGGTGGAAAACGAACCCCCAAGGGACACAACTGCAGCTCTTGGGAGATGCACAGATGATGGGTACAGATGTGGGAAGAGATGGGGACACAGATGGCCAAGTGCAGACTCAGTGAGGAGACCATGGTGGCCAGGTGCATCAAGGGACTCGTGATGAGGTGAGGAAAGATCAGGATGGGGCTGCAGGGAGAGCGGGGGTGGGGTCTGTGTAGCGAGTGCTGGGACCTCCCCAGTGAGACCCTCCCTTATTATGGCCCTTCCCACAAGTAGGTGGGCTGAGGTGAGGATCAGAACTGAAGGCATGTGATCTAGTCAGACCTGGAGCTCTGGTCCAGTAAATGAAAACAAGAATGAATCCAGATATGTGGTGAGAATTACTGGAGTGCCTTGGCTTTAAAGGTCTCTAGGAGAGCATGCCGGCAGAGGTAAGCACATACAAAGAGAGGAACCGAGGTAAATGAAAAGTGCTGACTACTGTTGGAGTAATTTGACCTCCTGGGAGCACATCAGTGGAGCAGGGTCAGGGTTTGGGTAACACTGATGGAGCCAGGCCTAGGGGCACATAGCAGTCCATGAACCATCAGGGCAGGACTCAAGATCCAAGTGGGCATGGACTCAGAGCAGGCCACAGGAGAACCCACGCCACAGACCTGGAAGTTTTCTTCAAGTCAGGGCAGGGAGTCTGAGCATGAAGGCGGAGGTACTCGCCAACCAGGGCAGAACCCACACTGGCCTAAACAGCCACAGGATTGCAGAGAAGATTCCCAAGAAAAGGCTGCCTGGCTCTCAGAGACATGACCCATAGGAGGGGGAGAGAGAA